GTGGCTTTGTAGTAAAGCTTGAAGTTGGGAGCATGATCCCCCCCACTTTATTCTTCGTTCTCAGGATTGCTTTGGCTATTTGGGTTCTCCTATGGTTCCATACAAATTTTAGAACTATTTGCTGTGGTTCATTGAAGAATGCTGTTGGTATTTTGATAGGGATTGCATTGAATCTGTAGATTGCGTTAGGCAAGATGGCCATTTTGACAGTATTAGTTCTTCGTATCCATGAGCACAGGATGTGTTTCCTTCCATTTGTTGGTATCTTCTTTAATTTCTCTCATGAGTATCTTGTAGTTTCAGAGTATATGCCTTTTACTTCTTGGTTAGGTTTATTCCTAGGTATTTTCTTCTTTTTGATGTAAATGTGAAAGGAATTGTTTTCCTGATTTCTATTTCTGCTCATTTATAGTTAGTGTATAGGAATGCAAGAGATTTCTGTGTATTAGTTTTGTATCCTGCAACTTTGCTGAATGCAGATATTAGATCCAGCAGTTTTGAAGTGGATTATTTAGGGCTTTTTATGTACAATATCATGTCATCTGCAAACAGTTTAACTTCTTCCTTACCTATCTGGATGCCCTTTATTTCTTTGTGTTGTCTAATTGCTGTGGCAAGGACCTCCATAACTATGTTGAATAAAAGTGAGAAGAATGGGAATCCTTGTCTTGTTCCCGATCTTAAAAGGAAAGGCTTTCAGCTTCTCGCTGTTCAGTATGATGTTGGCTGTGGGTTTGTCATATATGGCCTTTATTATGTTGAGGTACTTGCCCTTTATACCCATTTTGTTGAGAGTTTGTATCATGAATGGATGTTGAATTTTGTGGAATGCTTTTTCAGCATCCATGGATATGATCATGTGGTTTTTGTCCTTCTTTTTGTTGATGTGGCAGATGATGTTGATGGATTTTCTAATATTGTACCATCCTTGAATCCCTGCAATAAATGCTACTTGATCATGGTGGAGGATCTTTTTGGATAATATTTTTGAATTTGGTTTGCTAATATTTGGTGAGTATTTTTGCATCTATGTTCATCAGGGATATTGGTGTGTAATTTTCTTTTTTTGTGGTATCTTTGCCTGGTTTTGGTATTAGAGTGATGCTGGCCTCGTAGAATGAGTTTGGGAGTATTCCCTCCTCTTCTACTTTTTGGAAAACTAAGGAGGATGGGTGTTAGGTCTTCTCTAAATGTTTGATAAAATTCAGCGATTTTGGCATCTGATCTGGGGGTTTTGTTCTTTAGGTAGTTTTTTGATTACCAGTTCAGTTTCATTGCTGGTAATTGGTCTGTTCAGATTTTCTGTTTTTCTTGAGTCAGTCTTGGAAGGTTGTATTTTTCTAGAAAGTTGTCCGTTTCTTCTAGGTTATCCAGTTTGTTAGCATATATTTTTTCATAGTATTCTCATCATTCTTTGTATTTCTGTGGTGCCCATAGTGATTCTTCCTTTATCATTTCTGATTCTGCTTACTTGTGTAGACTCCTTTTTTTCTTGTTAAGTCTGGCTAGGGACTTATTTATTTTGTTTATTTTCTCTAAGAAACAGCTCCCACTTTCATTGATTCTTTCTATTGTTTTATCCTTCTCGATTTTATGTATTTGTGCTCTAATCTTATGTCCCTCCTTCTGCTGACTTTGGCCCTCATTTGTTCTTTTTCTAGTTTCACTGTGAGTTTAGACTGTTTATATGGGATTGTCCCTCTTTTCTGAGGTAGGCCTGTGTTGCAGTATACTTCCCTCTTAGGACGGCCTTTGCTGAGTCCCACAGAGAGTGTCAGAACAGACTCCTGTAAGTGTCTGGCCAGCTAGGCTGAGGGACGGCAAGAAAAATGGCCCCCCGCAGCCCCTCTTCCCCTGGATACATCTCCAGCATATCCCTGTCCCTCTGACATCCCAACATTAATCAGTAAGTCACATATAATTTAGGTGCTTTTCAAACTGCTGGGTCTCAGACTGATCATCAGCATACCCGCCCTCCAGGAACAGAGGCTAGGCCTCTGAGAGTCCTCTGGCTCTGCCAGAGTTAAGCCACACTAATTCTCAAAGCCAGATGGCTTGTCTTCCCTGGGCAGGCCCTGGTGTAGGCTTCATCCCCTCACCCCCCATGCTTGCTCCCTCTCATTCATGGGGGGTGGGGCAGGACAGGAGATGGGCCTGACCACAGCTCTGCCCTTGTACCCTTCTGAGTGCGGCCTCTTCTTGTCATTAACAATGGAAGTTCTGTTTTCTCTTCAGGTTATTTCCAGAGTGGGTCATGTTGCATGTAGTTGCCTAGGTGTGTACATGAGAAGAGGTGATCACAGGGATTTTCTGTTCCACCATCTTCTCAGAATCTCCTCTGAAGCCTACTTTTCTAGGCCTTAATTCCCTCATCTGCAATGTGAAGAATAAATATATATTTTAGCAGGCCTTTAAGATCAATTCCTTTTTAGGTATTATATTCCAAAAGTCTTTTTATAAACTAATTACCAGGAAATAAAGGATTCTGAAAGTACACTTACAAATAGAAAGGTGGTTTTTTTAAAAAAAGAAGGTAACTTTGTTTTATTTGAGCTATGGTTAAATTTACGGAAAATTGTTTAGCCAGAAATAATTTGGTAAATGATCAGTTCACTGAATGACTAACAGACCTAAAACTGTCAGACCAGATACCTTAATCCAGATTTAAAACATTCACCACAGGTATTTTAGGCAAGGCCTAGAATAGGTACAGTTCCCAATTCTGTAAGTTCATTCATTCATTTATATAACATTGATCATTCAGGAAGTACTAGGCATCTCAAATATTAATGTGAGAAATTGACATTTAGTTGCCTAGGACTGCAGATCTGTGAGGAAATACTTGAAGCAAAGGTTTGGTGATACTAAAACTTAAACAAAACAACAGCAAAAAATTCTCAGTAAATTGGCAAATCATTCAGTGAAAGCTGACTTTTGGTGGATTGAGGTCCACCTACTCTGTACAGGCACATTCTCCACAGAGGTTAAGTTGGAGAACGTCCTCTCCTCAAAGGACAAGCATCTCTAACCGGGACCTCAGACTCAGATCCCGGTCTTATTTACTTATTTACTGCTTTCCCCCCAATTAAACCATCCTGAAGTATATAAACTCAAACAAAAATGGGAGCAACAAAAGAAACATAAAGACAGCAAGGATATAAAAGCACAAATGAAACTTGAGAACATGTCCTACTGAGACCTGAACATGGGCTGGTGAACAGGGGACTCTGGCTGTCAGTGAGACAGGAAATCCAGTTAATTAGACAGCTCAGTGTCCATAAGGTACAGTGAAAGCAGACCAATTGCTCATGAGACGTTCAGCTATACTTTGGAGTATCATTTATGAAGAGTAACAGGAGTGTTGAAATAGAAACTCATATTTAAATAAAATTTCATAATCTTAAAAAAATTCTGAATAATGGAAACATTCTAAAATCAATTCATTTGAGGTAATTTTTTAAATCTTGAAATACTTGAAAGCAATAAATTTATTTGCCATTTTCCTCAAGTATTTCTCCATCTTCTATCTTAACTTTGTTCAGGAAGAAAATTGTACTACTATTTCCCTTTTACATGTTACTTAGAGGCCACTTAAGACCTGCCTGGTCTCCAGGCAGTCCTCTCTCCGAGAAAGGAGCCCCATTATTTACCTGCCTTTGAGGTCCTGGGATCGCCTGTGTCAGAGTGACCTGTGTCATCTGAAATAAAACATAGACCTTTTTTTCTTCTCACCATAGTATGTATAGAAATGAATGTGTTACTGCTAAAAATTTAAATTAGTAACTGTAGAAAGGAGAATTATAATGGTATAAAAGGCTTGATCTGTCACCATCTCTGTCTTCTTAGTCATCTTTTTTCTCTTTATCCTGTTTCTTTTAAATCTTAAGAAAGATTATTTTCAGGAACCATTTACTATCTTAGTCTTAGAAATTAAAAAAAGAATAAACTCCTTTTTATGCATAATTTCTGAATGATGAAAAAGCATAGGAATCAAATGATATAAATTGTATTTGCTTTTTCTAAGGAAAAGTTTACTGAGAAAAATACTTTTTTTCCTCACCCACAATTGTTTTGACTGTTCAGTGAATTAAACTTTTAATACAAGCTTGAGATTTTCCTAACAATCCATTTCTCATTTTATGAAATCCTGGAGTCAGAAGATAGCCCGGTACATAAAATACCCTTAGAAAGTATTTATTTACAAATGCCCAAAGCAGAAATGTAAATGATGTTATTTGTCAGGTGACTTTTGGACACCAACATAATCTGTTCCTTTTTTGACATAGGTATATTTTCCTAGCTGAATAAAATATAACTGTGTAAAAATTATAGCTGGATAAAAAAAGGTTAATTGATTGAACCCTTGAAATTTAATCAAAAGCTCCCCATGCTGGTGAGCATAAAACTTCTTAGTGTTTTATGGTGTAAAAATGCAGTTAGTACAACTGCTATTCCTACTGACTTCATTTGAAATCTCAGCAAAAATTCTCTCCTCAGAATTAATATTTAAAATGGGAATTACTGAAAAGATTTAGTATAAATGTTTTTTTTGACATGTAGACACTGAGTATATGCATTGGTTTTTTCCATAACCCTGCCATAACATCATCTTGATTATGCTTTCGTGCCTGAATATTGTGATCAGTATCAAGTATAAAAATGTCTTTGTAATAGCAGTTAAGTACATGTAGTGTGGCTAAGACCCCAGGTTTTAGAGAGACACAGTCCTGGGTTCAAATCACACATTTCTGTTCCTTATTGCCAGTGCACCTCAGGAAATGATTTAATCTCATTGGCCTGTGATTCCCTCAATGGTAATATAGGGACAGTAAAACCCACCTTACTAGGTAAAATGATTATGAAGGTTAGAGTAAATAATACATTCAAAATGCCTCAGACAAAGCACGGTGCTTGGAATGTGGGGTGTAACTGTCATCCATGATGGGAGCAAGAGCAGTGTTTGTGTCCGTGGCACCCATTGTGTGAGGTCATCATATGCCATGATTCTGAGCCTGGTGCCATGCCATAAAGTGCGGTCAGGACTACTGGCTCTGGGAGCAGAAGTGCCCAGAGTGGTTCAGGCTGAATCCTGCTTTAAGATTCTTTTAAGGAAAAAGAAACATTAAAAAATTTTTCTTAAAAAAAAATGTATAAGGTAATTTAAAATTGTTTTAGAAAGGTTATTTTGAAAGGATGCTTTTCCTATGTCTGGACATACTACTTTGGACTCTAAGTAAGGTCATGTAACAGTGTATTTGTTTTGATTGCCTTACGGACGACCACCAGCTCTTGATTATCACCTATGCACTAAGCAGGCTTATTCCTGTAATACACTAGCATTATGCTGGTGTATGTGTTTCCATGAGGAGACATAGTATGAAATCAAATATCACAAAGTGGCAAAATAATGTACATCATGTACCTATCATCAGCTTTAGAAATTATCATGTGACCAATATTGTTTTACATATATTCCCATCTACTCCTCCTCCATAATTTGTTGAAGCAAATCTTAGACATCGTACTTCATCTGTAATGATAAGAATTCTTGTTTTCTAAAAAAGTATCACAATACCATTATCATACTTCATACTTTCAAATGATAATTTCTTGATATCATCAAATATCAGACATTGTTAAAATTTTCATTGTTTAAATTCTTAACTGTCAGAATTTCCTGGACAGTTTGTCTATTTGAATGAAAATCTAGGTAAGATCCAAACATTGGGCATGTTTGATACATCCCTTAAGGGCCCTTTAATCTTCCCACAGTGTTTTCACTTCTTGAAATTTATTTGTTGAATAAACTGGGGAATTTGTAGAATTTCCTACAGACTGGATTTTGCTGTGTAGTTTATAAAGCCAGGGAACTGTTTGTTACCTTTTCTATATAGACTCTCACTTTGTTCTTTAGATTTCTACCCTTTTTCATGGCTTCCCTTAATATTAATTTCACCTAGATTTTACCTTTATAAAAATATTTGAATTATTAACATTCATAGAATACCTTGCATTAAGCCCCACCCCCTTGGAATGGTACACTGAGTCATTGGCAGGCATGAAAATCTCAAACTGATCTCATTGTCTCTCTTCACTCTCATTCACATACAGTGTATAAAATGAGATAGATGATGTTAATTATAGACTGTATTCGGGAATTTATATTCAGAGTGGACAGGGTTCGAGTCAGATTTGAGGGTTGTGCCTAATCTATTTGTTCAACAGATTTATTTAATAAATATTTTATTATTAAAATAATAAAAAACTACATGTTCCAGTTGTATCTGATATGCTCTGATCTTCTAGGTCAGTTGGTTCAGTAAATGTGCTATTGAAATGTGGCATTAGGTCCTTGAATTTTAAGTTTAAATGGCTGCTGAATAAAGATCCTTGATACTGTCTTACAGTTTTTTTTATCATTAATCTACAATTACATGAAGAACATTATGTTTACTAGGCTCTCCCCTTCACCAAGTCCCCCCCACAAACCCCATTACACTGTCCATCAGCATAGTAAGATGTTGTAGAATCACTACTTGTCTTCTCTGTGTTGCACAGCCCTCCCCTTTCCTCCCCCTTCCACATTATACATGCTAATCATAATACCCCCTTTCTTCTTCCCTGCCCTTAACCCTCCCTACCCTCCCATTCTCCCCTGTCCCTTTCCCTTTGGTAACTGTTAGTCCCTTCTTGGGTTCTGTGATTCTGCTGCTGTTTTGTTCCTTCAGTTTTTCTTTCTTCTTATACTCCACAGATGAGCGAAATCATTTGGTATTTGTCTTTCTCCACTTGGCTTATTTCACTGAGCATAATACCCTCTAGCTCCATCCATGTTGTTGCGAATGGTAGGATCTGTTTTTCTCTTATGGCTGAGTAATATTCCATTGTGTATATACATTGTGTACCACATCTTCTTTATCCATTCATCTACTGATGGACATTTAGGTTGCTTCCATATCTTGGCTATTATAAATAGTGCAGCGATAAACATAGAGGTGCATCTGTCTTTTTCAAACTGGGCTCCTGCATTCTTAGGGTAAATTCCTAGGAGTGGAATTCCTGGGTCAAATGGTATTTCTATTTTGAGTTTTTTGAGGAACCTCCATACTGCTTTCCACAGTGGTTGAACTAATTTACATTCCCACCAGCAGTGTAGGAGGGTTCCCGTTTCTCCACATCTTTGCCAGCATTTGTTGTTGCTGCTTGTCTTTTGGATGGTGGTGATCCTTACTGGTATGAGGTGATATCTCATTGTGGTTTTAATTTGCATTTCTCTGATGATTAGTGATATGGAACATCGTTTCATGTGCCTGTTAGCCATCTGAATTTCTTCTTTGGAGAAGTATCTCTTCATATCCTCCACCCATTTTTTAATTGGATTCTTTGCTTTTTGTTTGTTGAGGTGCGTGAGCTCTTTATATATTTTGGACGTCAAGCCTTTATCGGATCTGTCATTTATGAATATATTCTCCCATACTGTAGGGTACCTTTTTGTCCTATTGATGGTGTCCTTTGCTTGTACAGAAGCTTTTCAGCTTGATGTAGTCCTACTTGTTCATTTTTGCTTTTGTTTTCCTTGCCCGGGGAGATATGTTCATGAAGAAGTCGCTAATGTTTATGTCTGAGAGATTTTTGCCTATGTTTATTTTCTAAAAAGTTTATGGTTTCAGGGCTGGAGTGCGCTGGGCAGGGGGCTGAGGCACGGGTAACACGCGGTGCCATGCATGGCGCCCCTGCCTGGCTGCTGTGGCTGCTGGCGTGGGGCCCAGGCTCACCGGGGGCGCCAGCAGTAGTCTGCTGGGGCTGTGGACGTGGCCGCCTGGCGCGGACAGGTGCGCGGTGCTCACCAGGCCCTGTGGCCCCCGGCTCCCATGTGCTGGGCTCCCCAGCAGCCCCGTGGTTGCGGCCCAGGCGGGGGGCCAGGCCTGGTGGCGTGGGCTGGAGGTGTCTGCGGCTGCAGCTTCAGGCAACAACTCTCGACTGCGTCCCGTGGTGGGCTGGCGCTCAGAGGCCTGGAAGCTGCTGGGGCTGGCGCACCCCAAGCGCCTCAGGCTGGCAGCCGCTGTCAGGTTTCTGGCTGTGTCCAGCATCATCACCATGTCTGCGCCCTTCTTCCTGGGGAGGATAATCAATGTTATCTACACACAGCCCACCATGGACTACAGATACAGCCTGACCCACCTCTGCCTGGCGCTTGGCGGCGTGTTCCTGTGCGGGGCTGCCGCCAACGCCATTCGCGTCTATCTCATGCAGACTTCAGGCCAGCACATCGTCAACAGGCTGAGGGCTTCGCTGTTCTCCATTCTGAGGCAGGAGGTTGCTTTCTTTGACAAGATTTGCACAGGGGAGCTGATTAACCGCCTTTCGGCAGACACGGTACTCCTGGGACACTCAGTGACCGAAAACGTCTCTGATGGGTTCAGGGCAGGGGCCCAGGCTTCCGTCGGCATCGGCATGATGTTTTTTGTCTTGCTTCATCTGGCCGCTTTTGTTTTGAGTGTGGTGCCCCCGATATCCATCCTCGCTGTGCTTTATGGATGCTATCTGTGGAAACTGACCAAAGCCACGCAGGATTCCCGGGTGCAGGCCACCCAGCCAGCTGAGGAACATACTGGAAATATAAGAACTGTCCAAGCTTTTGGGAAAGAAATGACTGAAATAGAGAAATACACCCATAAAGTGGGCCACGTGATAGACTTGGCAAAGAGAGAGGCATTTGCTTGGGCTGGCTTCTTCGGAGCAACAGGGCTCTCTGGGAACCTGATTGTGCTCTCTGTCCTGTACAAAGGAGGGCTGCTGATGGGCAGTGCCCACATGACCGTGGGTGAACTCTCTTCCTTCCTGATGTATGCTTTCTGGGTTGGATTAAGCATTGAAGGTCTGAGCTCCTTCTACTCGGAGCTGATAAAGGGACTGGGAGCCAACACCCGCCTGTGGGAACTCCTGGACGGAGAGCCTGGGCTGCCTTTCAACGAGGTTGTTGTTTTAAAAGAAAAGCTTCCAGGGCGCTTTGGAGTTCCAGAACGTTCATTTCGCCTATCCAGCTCAGCCAGAGGTGCCCGTATTCCAGGATTTAAGCCTCTTTATCCCATCAGGATCTGTCACGGCACTGGTCGGCCCAAGTGGCTCCGGCAAATCGACAGTGGTCTCCCTTCTGCTGCGGCTGTATGACCCCGTTTCTGGAACCTTTAGTCTCGATGGCTATGACATCCGTCAGCTTAATCCAGCCTGGCTGAGGCCCAAGATTGGGACAGTGAGTCAGGAGCCAATTTTGTTTTCTTGCTCAATCGCCAAAACATCACTTATGGTGCCAATGACCCCACCATGGTGACCGCCGAGCAGATAGAGAACGTGGCTGAGGAGCCAACGTGGCCTCCTTTATCCGCAACTTCCCCCAGGGATTGGACACCGTGGTCGGAGAGAAGGGGGTTCTACTCTCAGGTGGGCAGAAACAGCAGATAGCGAGCACCCGGGCTCTGCTGAAGAATCCCAAAATTCTTCTCCTAGATGCGCTTGACACTAAGAACAAGCACCTTGTGCATGAAGCTCTGGATCGGCTGATGGAAGGAAGAACAGTGTTGATCATCGCCCATCGTCTGTCCACCATCAAGAACGCTCATGTGGTCGCTGTTCTCAACCAAGGGAGAATAACTGAATGTGCGAAACATGAGGAACTGCTGCTCTCAAAAACAGACGGGACATACAGAAAATTAATAAACAAAGTTTTATTTCAGCATAGAGAAGCCATTACCGGTAAAATGAATATGAAAGACTTTTTAAAGCCAGACAGCATTGCAGGAAAAAAAAAACCTAGGGACAGTATGAGATCTGTAAGTCATACTTCAAGTTATTAGACATATGCCTATTTTCTTCCAAACTGTATAAAATATTGTTATGAGATGTACCTGTCTCAAGACTTTTTTTATTCAGAGTTTTAATAATTGTAACTTTCTAATGTCTATAGCACTGTAGTTATTTTCAGGTTTTGTACTTTCATCTCAGGATATTTTGATTAATATAGCATGACAGCTTTTTTTTTCTTTTTACCTCCTGTTAGAGATTGAAGCTATTGTCAAATGACAACTTTCAAAAGGGAATTATAAATAAAAAGCCTAATTATTTTAGGCCAGTTTGCCAATCACTATGTAATTCTTTTGGTACCATTCTACCTATTTTGGGCCTGATTTTACTAAGTAGCATAAAAGGTGAAGATCTAACCTTTTTTTTTTTTTTTTTGAGAGGGCATCTCTTATATTTATTGATCAAATG